TTGTTCAGATGAAGAATATTCAGCTAATTCAGTTGATGATATTATATGTACAGGTATGTATTTAATTGTCTAAATGGACTGAATGAGTGTTGGACTGTAGCATACTTCAGGTAGCAAGGCCTGAAAATAATCTGTTTTATACACCCACATGGTAATATTGCCTTCGCTCCAGTCCGTCCGTTGTCCACAACTTCTTGTGAACACTCTACAGACTAGATTTACCATCTGAATGTTTTGAAATTGATATATGTTGTTGACAGTAGTGCGATGAAGAAACCTATTTAATTTATTCTGGAGTTATGGCCCTTGTTTCACTTTGTTGCACCCTGTGACACTCTTGCGACAAAATTTATCATCCGATCTGTATGAAATTTTTATGCATCATTTAAATTAGTGAAACGAAGAAGTCTATTTATTTTCTTTTGGAATTATGGCCCTTGTTTCACTTTGTTGCACCTTGTAAACACTCTTAAGGCGAAATTTATTATCCGATCTATACAAAATATATGTATAAATTAAATTAGTGAAACGAAGAAGCCTATTTATTTCCAGCAATTTCCATTAATAACTTCTAGAATTATTGCCCTTGTTTCATTTTGTTGGACCTTATGAATGCTCAGGTGTCAAAAGTTGTCATCCAAGTTGTATGGAATTTTCTTTTAAATGCTGCCAATTACCTAAAAAAGAATAAATATGGGACAACCCTTGTCGACCGCTCGGATGATCTAGCTGCTGTGTTTTGTTGATTGGCAACCTATCTTACTTGTACCTCGCAAAATCAGACTCTATTGAACTAGCACCTTATATAATGAACTTTGTGTTGGACACATATTAAAAATAAAAAACACTGAAAAAAGGACAAATCACTGCCAGCCAAATCACCAGAGAGATTGTGCATGAAAATGGTCGGAATTTGTTCCTGCAAATGTCTGTGACAGGTGCCTTCTTCTCCAGCTTCAAGGTAGTAGTTGCAACTGATGTGATGTTAGTTGACCAATGTTGACAAGGATCAACTAAAACTTGCCCTGAGTAGAGAAAGGTCCTACTGTTCTGCTCCGTCTGGGTTAATGTTGAAACACGATCGCCATTGAATTGACTCAAAACTTTACAAGTACCGTTAAAAATCACCAAAAATCATCTAATTTGTACTTGTGTCCAGTTTAAAGCTGACCATTCAATTTTGATAATTTGTGTCCAATTTACAAGTGTTTAATTTCTCAATCACTGTTAAAAAATAAACAACCCAATGTAATGATTAATTTTTGAACAGTAATCAGGGAATTAAACACTTGTAAAATGGACACTCGCTATCTAATGTTTTTTTGATAATTATTTACTACACCAGGATTGAAGATATTGCATGAAAAGAAATTGAGGATTATTAAATTAAGTGAAGACAATTGGAGGCCATTTGCGAAAAACAGGGAAGTTGAAAAAGAATTTAAAATTTATGTGACTGGCCAGCTGTTAAAAAAGTGATTGAAATACATAAGGCCGGGAAGAATCAATCGATTAATAATATCTGTGTTTAAAATTCTAAAAAAAGACAGGGATATTAATATTGTGAAAAAAATCTTTAAACATACATTATGCAAGAGCTAAATCTGTCTATTGCAGGTCTTTCTTTAGGCTTGAAATGTTATATAAACTATTAATTATTAATTAGACATTTATTAACAAAATAAGACCATAATCAACTCTCGATGTCATCTTATGCGTCAGATTTTCACTGGATTTAAATCCGATCTGCTGCTCAACACTCATTGATGATTAAATCAAATGAAATAACGGATAATTGAGACTATGTTTTTTATCATACCGACTTTAGTAATGATGATTGAGGCTAGGCTTAAAATTCAAAAGCTAATATCTCGGTTCAGAGTGGAGCAATTTGACCTAAATTTTCAACATATTCTATTTTTTTTAACTATTATAGCGAGAACTGTCAACTTTTTATCTAATGTCCCATAATGCCTCTTTTAATAAAGACTGCAATCGAAGTGCTAGTGACATAAGGAAAATTTTTTAGCAAACTTCTAACGGTGTTAAAAGTCATATCTGTTGCTGGATACACAGCTAATTGTTTGGAATTTTGGAATTTTGCAAATCTTTATTTAGAAGTAACAATAACTTTGACAATGTGATTTTTAGAGATAAGTGAAGTATACAACTACACGATAACAAGACTGTGACAAGTCTGTAGCATGCAGACAAAAAGAGCAAGTGGCTTCCCCGTCTTTGTCCCCCAATCACCCCCTTATAGTTCATCTGTAAACGTGGACCTACGGAGTTATAATTTTCGATGGGATTGTGGATGCCGATTTTTGCAGGAACCTTGTTTTGAGAGACTCGTTTGCCTTTTGACCAGAATATGTTCCTGGATGGCCATCAGTTTGTACAGGACAATGTCCCAAAACATCGAATTCCAAATGCTGAGAGTTCTTTTAGTGCATGCCAATGTGTACACAGGGCCCCAGTTTTTCGGACCACGTCTCAAAATCCTGATGAACTTTCTTGGCCAATGCAGGGATCGAACACAGGACCGCCAGTCCAGCAAGCCAGCGTTTTAGAGAAAGAGGAGAGAGGTTTAACCTCCATTTAATACAAATTGGTCATTTTGAGACTAACATATGATTCAATTTTATTTACAATAATTTGCTTGCAAGTAGGGGTCTTTAGCGTTGGGATGAAACCAGAGGACTCAGAGAAAACCCACGAGTTTGGACAGGCAACCCTACTCCTTGTCACAGGCGGGGAATCGAAACCACGCCACTTGACTCAGATCAAACGTGCACGCGATAAGCATTTGGCCACCAAACCTGCTCAATAGATCACACACTTATATTTGTTCTAAAAATAAATGCAAGAATTCTTGATTCTTGAAGATGCCTTATGAAAGAGGTGAATCTACCTATTGCAGGTCTTTCTTTTGGCTTCAAATGCTATATAAACTATTATTTAGACATATATGAACATCAACTCACAAGATCATCAGATGGCAGAAATTTAAATGGATTAGAATATGAAATTTGAAAATTTAAAATGGATAATCGAGACTTAGTCTCCTTTGTCCATTACCTTTCCTATGATAACAAACAATCTATGCTACATCTTCCAACACTCATGGGGGGGGGGGGGATGGCCGAATGGTTATCATAAGGTCTGTCATTGAGTCAACTGGCATGGTTTCGATTCCCCGATTGTACGTGACAAGGAGTAGGGTGGCCTGTCCAACCTCATAGGTTTTCTCTGGGTCCTACGGTTTTCTCCCATTGCTAAAGACCCCTATGCGCTAGCGAATTATTGCAATAAAATTGAACTATATGTTTGCCCCGAAATGACCTAGTTTGTGTCGAGTGGAGGTTACACCCCATTTCTCTCTCTCTCCAACACTCATAACTTTGTTCAGAATAAAGTAATTTAAAGGAAATTTTCAAGTTTTTGAGCTATTATAGCAAGAAAGCCCAGCTCTAAATCTAAATCTTACATAATGCACCTTTAAAGGCCAATTGAAATTTTCTAGTCTTTTAGTTTCAAAAAAAAACATAAGGACATTTTTTAAGTACAATGCACAATAGTATAATACTATGAATGAAAAACTATTGTGCTTTACTTCAGTAAAGTTAACAAAAACTTGCATATCTTTTATCAAAATAAATGTTTTTATTTTAAAAGGCTTAGATATAAGAGTCCATGGAAGACACTATGAATGATATAGACATGTGCTGACATTAGATGATATGACTATTGTTCTGTTATAGTACTATTTTTATATATTATTACATTTTATCATGATTATACATATATGTCTTTGTTAATATAATATAATAAATAAGGAAATGCAAGAGGTAAAAAGGCATCTCGATTTTTTAGTGTTTAAGATGCATTAGTATAAAGTAATTGACTGAAATAGCTCTTTATCTAAATCTTACATAATGCATCTTTAATGCACAACAAAGAAGCCTAGAATTTAATTAAATCAAAACTTCCTCTCTCCCCCCACTCCTTTGTATGCTTGTAATATTATTTGTTTACCTCTGAGGCTCTGTCTTCATTAGCCCAGGGATGTTCAACTCCATGTTTTGTAAAGAAAAAATAACAATTTACAAATAAACAATTTGATTAAAATACAGATCTATATTTTGTTTCGTTATTTTATCCTTTCGATGTCCTCTACTACATAAAGATCTGACCGGTTGTAGTGGAAGGTTGCATCAGGGGTCATACGATCAGCTTTTAACCAATGAGCACTGAGTGATGTTTCTACCCAAATTACCATGCACCTCACACCAAAAACTAACCGTAACAGACTGTTTTATTGGCTAATCCCTCACATCATCCAGAACGTGGGTTATATAACAACTCTTCCAGATCCTAGTGTAGTAAAGACAAGTAAAAACAAAATTTTGAATTATAAAAAATGAAACGAAATAGGCTCTTTGTTTTAATCAGATTGTAGAAATAAATGAAGTTTTGTGAAGAAAAAATAACATCAACAACTTAAGAAAAATTTGCTTTATGTCAATAAGATGATCTAACACACCTGTCTGTCTCACCTGTATATATTATAGACGACACATCAACAGGTAAGCGACAAATTCAAGATAAAAATCTATGAAAATGGAGTAAATGTCATTATTCATAGTTTAATGTTCTCTTCCTATAGAGTTAGAGGTCTTATTTAGTCCCTATTCCTGCTCATTTTATACCTTAGATATTAGGTGACAATCTTAAATATGATCAGTGGACCAGAACACTGTAAGGTGAACAGGGTCGGATGGCTTGTGTATATATTTTGTAAAGTTCACTCACATTCACCAAATTTTCTAAAAATTGAAGTTCTGGGTTTATTTTAATTAGCATTGATTTTTATGGGTCAGTTTGGTTTGATTTATGTATAATATTATTATTAATTCTTGGCTACCTCAACACCCTGTATTGATTAATAGACTCATCCAACTGAGCCTAAGCCAGCATGTATTACTGACTGTAGTAGAAAGTGTAAGTGTGTGATGGAGGGAAGGCAGGGTTAGCGTTGCTGTAAAACTCTACCCTAAGAATGGAGATTTTCTTAATTTGATTGGATTAATAACCTGTGTCAGCATGGTATATACAATGTTTTCGTGTCGATATTCGTACGGATGTACCTGCGGTTTTTCATCCAATCAGCAAAGAAGAAAATTATACATCAGCTCAATTGGAGGAGGTAGGCTACATGTATCTACTTAATATTCATATTCAATCGAAGTTTTAGCGGCAATATTTGATCGTTTATATTTAAATTAAATTTCTTACATCACAATTAATTTTATTGAATTTTTAGGTTATTTTTAACAGTTCAATTTTTAACTTGGACTTGATCACATATAATTGAGTTTAGTCAAGTTTTAGCGGCAATATTTGATTTTTTGATTGATGTGTATTTACTGAGAAGATTTGAAGTATTTATTTTTACTGATGATGTATGACTGTGATCATTGATGAAGAATATAATTTAATTCTGAATTTTTTATGTTTTTATTTTTTTTTTTTGGAACAAGAAATCTCAAAATATGTAATTTTAGTCTTTGATGTTCAAACAATATTTTAGCAGAATAGTTTCTTTGCTTTCTGCAACAAATATTTATTTAGAACAGCCAATTATTCGAAATTATTTGTATATTAATGTCCTTTTCATCCTCAACAATATTTTTATTTTTTTATGATCACCCAGTCACTTTGGTTCAATGGGTGGATGAATGGGGTTTAATGTGTCTGTTAGATTATCAAGTCTGTCATTGAGTCAAGTGGGGTGGATTTGATTCCACGCTTGTACGTGACAAGGAGTAGGGTCGTCTGTCGAGCCTTGTGGGTTTTATCCAGGTCCTCCGTTTTCATCCTACAGCTAAAGACCTCTACCCTCAAGCGAATTATTGAAATAAAATTGAACCATGTTAGTCCCGAAATGACCTAGTTTGTGTTGACCGGACATTGAGCCCTGTTTCGCGCGCTCTCTCTCATTGCTTGATTTTGCTTCAATAAAATCTAAATCTGTAGTTCCCAGAGACAAGGGTCACCTTTCTCCCCTTCTGGTCCCAGTGTCTACTTGCACCTCGCCCCCACCCCCATTCATTTTAAAATTGTCATCTATTAATGTAAATTCTGGATTCGTATGCTTTGCCAGTAATAATATAGGTCTTCACATGGACACTGCCAGTTGTTGGCACAGTTATCAAATGCCACCCAAGCATCATATTCATATAAGCAGGCTTTTCAGAGCTCAATAATTGAATACCCCCAAAGGGATTATTAAGTGTGAAACAGGAGTATTTAGTGAACTGTTAATTTGTGATCGCCCTAATAGTTGTGTATATAGGTATTTCATTTGATATATTATACACTATAGACTTCAAACAAGCTCTTAATATCTAACACAGTGACTGATAGCAATGATATTTTTTCCGGCGTGGTTCCCCCTTGTCAGTGATGTAGAATGGAGGGACTGACAAGGACAGCAGTCTAGTCATTCGGGTGGTACGAAAAACCAAGGTCCCATGTACACATTGACATGCACGTAAAAGATCCCCTGACAGTTGGAATTCGATATAAGAGTATGCCATAGTGCCACTGTCCGGGCAAAATTTCCCTCATAGCACACTGTATGGCGTATGCCCATATTCATTTGCCCAGTTTTGAGCAGAACAGTAGGACATTAAACTCCATTTTATTTTTATTTCTGCAAAGATTTTGATGAAACTGGGCAAAGTGTTGACCGCTGACTCTGACTTCAAATAGGCTGCAGCCCCTCAATATCACAATGTTAGGACAGTTTTTTTTTTTATGAAATTGGGCAAGGTTTTAACCATTGATCACTGATCATATATATATTTGTTGAGGTTTAAAGATTTGGATTATATTTTGATGTAGTTATCACATTATATATTATATAGTTATAAATAATCACATTGATATTTTGACACTTCATTACCTGTGATTAAAGATAAACGTTGCACTAACCTTAATAAATACCGCTTAGAACATACAGTTAATCCCTATATCTCACGTCTAATCTCATAATCTGATTAAACAAAACATTGCCAATTCTCTCACTCTGTTTATATGTACTGTGACACTATTTATTATAATAAGAGTGCTCTATATATTCAGAAGGGTTCATGGAAGTCAAGTGGTCAGAAGGGTCCAGTCGGTCCATGGTATTCAAGTGGTCAGGGTATTGGACTCTCAGCTAGAAATCCCAGAATATTCCAGATTTGAATCCTGGCGTGGGGACAAGACAAACTTAGGGGAATTTTCAAGCCTGGGTTTCGCTTGTCAGGGATGGCATCTGCGGGGACAGGTCTATCAGTGTCACACTAGCATGCACATAAAAGAAACAATGACTGGACATTAAATTCTGTTTTGTTCCAGAAACGCAATTTAGACACCACGTAGGACACTGGCAAAAACCAACAGTTTTCCTTGAAATATTCATGGCAAAATAATTCAATTTTATGACAATATTCTATTTTTACAAAACAAATGCTATTAATTATAAATAGTTGTAAGGAATGTGAAAGTGGTTTTGAAAACGGTAGTGTTTAGACACCACGTAGGACACTGGCAAAAACCAACAGTTTTCCTTGAAATATTCATGGCAAAATAATTCAATTTTATGACAATATTCTATTTTTACAAAACAAATACTATTAATTATAAATAGTTGTAAGGAATATGAAAGTGGTTTTAAAAACGGTAGTGTTTGAATGGCATTTATCATATTGAAATATTTATGGCAAAATGATTCAATTGTATGACAATATTCTAGTTTTACAACATAAATACTATTAAAAAGTTGTAAGGAATTTTAAAGTGGTTTCAAAAGGGGTAATGTTTGAATGGCATTTATCATGTGTTTTGGGAAGAGTGTATTATCTCCTTGAATAAAATAAGAAATAGTATATCCATAAAGTTATTACATGTATGAAGTTGTATTATGGTTTTGATTGATAACTTGAAATACACCAACTTCAATAGAAGGCTTGATCTCGCTTTAACTCGATACATCTTATCAAAGCCTTTACATAATACCCTGGATATTTCGACACTAATTTCGGTTGGGTATTGACCTGGTTTGGGAGCCTCTCAGATTCTTCAATCATCGCGAATACCAAGTCTCGCACTTTCTAACTAAAATGTCTACGTGTGAAAATCGAGTTGCATGTTCAAGGTTTGTTCAATGTCAAGGTTTCCCTGGAGGTCGCCATATTTGATTTGAGTGTGTTTGTGTCACAACCTCTGATTGGATGCTTCTGTTCATGTGTCTTTGGTAAAGGGAGATAACTTTGCTATAAGTTCGGAAATTGCAAAGCAGTGTAGCAACATCTAGATGTTGTAAAACTTGCGGTCGTTGCTTCAGGAACATAGAAATACACAGAACACTAATTCTCTGGAATTACTAGAAATTTAATGAAGGCAAGTCAACCCGTATTATAAATGGTAATTATATTTCATAGAGTTGTCTTGCATATTCCCAGTTCAGTTCAGTTATTAAATTCCATTGGAACAGTGGACATGAACATCAGTTTTATAGCTACAGTAATAAGCTGTATATTTTACAGCACTGTAAGTTTCTGTGAAATATATATTTAATAAGATAATTAATTAATGAAATGGGTGAAAATCAATAGTAACTTGAAGACTGAAATTTTACTGTTAATAATTTATTAACATTCAAGTAAGAGATTCAAATAACATCCACAAAGTTTTTATACTGTATCTATTCAGTTTCTGTCCTAGGCAGAGGATAATGGTTCTTGCTGTGAAGATACATAATTCATCGTCCTCAAATGGTCCCAAAATTATGGTTGTTTTTATGGAGAAAAATAGGCTGTTTTTTTTAACAAAATTAACTCAATTTCCTAAATTTAATGCAATATGAATTCCTAGCAAACTACACTATTGTGAAAGATGAATCTCTAATAGGAATATTGATCCAAAAATAGTTCCATTCCTTTCACTATTTACAGATATATTTTGAATTGAAATTTCATTGACCTACATGCATGCAGCTCGCTGTGGAAAAAGACTGCCACCATATTGTTGTGGGCGAACAGAATTGATAGGCCTGTTTTAAAACTGATAGAATACGAGCCAGGATTGGTATTTTGCTTTTTCTTTTGCTTTCTTAATTAAATCAAGTACATATTTAGCCTGGATAATTTATAAGCTGTTAGTGTTAGGAATTTGATATTTTAACAAAAACGGCTGATAACTTTAAGAAAATCATTCAAACTTTTTCCGACATCTACTGTGACTCTATGACCACTACATGTACATGTATATACTTACTGACAGTAATAGTATAATTGGTCAGTTTCTTTGATTTTATTGTGACCAGGAAAAGACCTTTGTACTCCAGTAATGTACATGTAAAGATAAAAAAATATTTCTAATCCAAGGTGTGGTGTTATATTAACATCTAACAAATCAGATATACAAATACATAAACTTCCTTCAAATAGTTAATTCACTTGTCTGTGATATCACCCTAGGGATGAAGCAGATGTAAAACCCTATATCCCAACAAGCTAATTCAGTACATACAGTTACTGTTCTACAAGCAACAAGACAATTATAATTTATACCAACAATAAAGATAATCAAGTATACTGTCCACTTATAATATTGGTTGGGAAATACAACATTGCAAATTTAAAATGAATAAAGTGAAGCTGATACATTTTATCGTACAATGGAAGCCTATATTTTTGTTAATGTATTCTGATTTTGACAGTTATATATGTATGTACATGTATGTTTATATTAGACTGAATAATGGAGCCTCCGATAGCTCCCGTTGAATGTCACAGACTAGAGACTGAAGTCAGTAATGGTAGTTATGTACATGTATCAAAGTCAGCCAATTTCGACTTGCACAAAAAATCAATCTTTAATCCACCTCGGTGTCTTAACATCAATGTAGATGGGTTGACAGCATCCATTTTGATGTCAAATGTTTTGCTTGTTGTTATCTGTGGTGTGGTCTTCTTACTTTACTAACCTTTAAAATATAACTTGTTTGGTAAATTTTGTTGATGTTTTTTTATTTTTTTTTTAACAGATCGATGCACATGTATTATTTAATATTTTATTTACATTTATTGTAATTCACATTCCTAAAATATGTGTAGGTGGTTTATTATTTTTAGTGCAAGGTGTGGTCTTTTT